AATTTTTTATGGTAAATCATAATTTGTCTTATGACTAACAAGATCACAGAGTGGAGAATTTAACCTATTGGCCGTTACTCTCCTCTTCTAAAACCGGACAGAACTGTCTCTAAAGTCTCAATCACGCCTTCTTAGCCTTAAGGAATAAGAACACTCAAGGATCTTTTTCTCAAAAAGGTCTAGGAGTTAAGCAAACCCTAGGGTTCCCATAACCCTAGGATTTCCATAAACCGACCGCAAACCGAACGATCAAAAACCGAACCTGTCGGTTCAATTCAACTTTGCGTCGATCGACACACACCCCCTGTGTCGATCGACGCACACACCAAAATTCTAAATTTTGGTTCACATGCGTTACATTAACGAGCTAAGTAACAACATGCCCAAAATGGCAAGAGCAGGGGTACAACAATGCAAAGGTAAATCGAGAATGATTCCACAAGAGAGAGACGGTGGATCTGGTGGAATAGGCGGATCAGTAGAAATTCGAGGAGAACTTCGGCCAGAGGTGGAGGAGTTGTTGTGCTTAAGGAGGAGAGGGAAACCTGGTTGGAAGAGCTTCGGTGGAGGCTGCTCATCTTGTCTTAGAAGTGTCGCGGCGCGACTCCTTGGGTATCGTGCCATTTTAATGTCACGGTGACTAGTAGCCGTAGAGGATCCGGGATTTGAGCTATTCTGACAGGGAGCTTCAGACGAAGCTTCATTATGAGCAAACCATTAGAGACAAGAAGAACCATCACCTTTGCCGGAGAGAACACGGATCTATCACTGAGGAAAGACCGAGAGTCATGAACAACCAAAGCGAAAGCGTTGGAAAAACCCAAGGATTCTCGTCGCGGGTCCGAGAGCAAATCTAGACAGAGAGTCCATGCTTCTTCTTCCAATGGTGAGGGAGGTCTTCAAGGAAACCGAGGCGTCGGTACATGCAGAGAAGAGACGGACGATGGAGAAGGGCTGGAGGCGTGAGTCTCTGCTGAAACGGAGAGAGCCGAGATCCTTCATCTTGGTCTTCGTGCCATCTCAGCTTGGTCTTCGTGCCCGAGAGCGGCTAAGACGAACGCCATCTTGTGTTTCCTTTCCTCCAAATTCTTCGTTTTTTTTTAATTTTAGAATTTATTTTCTTATATTACAATTTTTATTATCATC